AGTTTACTAAAAAGACAGTCGAAAGAGTCTAAGGGATCGCGATATTTTTCTCGCTTATAATAGTTTCTCGCTTTTCGCGGTTCGACTGTACATTTAATACTTTATAATGAGTTAGTTTGAAATTAACCGAATAACTGAATATCATTCCGGTGAATCTAAACTCATCATAATCGGTCAATAAACGTTACAATGATCTTCACTATAGGTTTTTTGTTTTAAATATTAGCAGATTTTTAGTAAATTTACTAATATTTCTTTTACCTTGTGCAAGGATATGGTTTACGACAATAGTCGAATGGCGGGATTCGAACCCCCGACCTCGTGATCGAAAATCCGTACACTTAACCATTAGGCTATTGACGCTCGAAGGTACAAGTTTACTTCTCTTGTGTATAAAAACATGTTTTAAACACCACAATACGTTTTTACACAGATGTTTCGGCACTGGAAATCCTCAGTCAACAATCACAACTGACACAGATTTCACTTACGTCGACTACAACTAATTATATTATAGAATTTATTACTTAATTTTTTTAATATATTTTCTTATATAAAAATTCACAGTTTACAACAGCTGTACTCAAACGTCTTGTCAACGGATTACTTTGATGTTACAAAAAGTTTACATTCTTCCACTTCAAAGCTTTTACACTGATCTTTAACTACTTTACAAGCTTAGCTAATATTGCTAACATCTGTTAGACAGTTTTCATATAACAACTGCGCAGTAGGTTTTAAAAGACGATATTACAAAAAAAAACGATATGAATGTCTCTTTTTTATAAAAGAGAAGGAGGTAAGCGAGCGACGGGAACACCGAGGTGATCAACGACACCCATGGACATCTGCAACACCAGAGGAACTGCAGATGCGTTGCCGGCCTTTAAGGAAATGGTATGCTCGCTTCTTGAAGTTCCTTAAGTCGTATTGATTTGGAAATAGCGCCGAGGACAGACCGTTCCACAGCGCGGCTGTGCTACTATAATTGTACGGATGAAACAAATGACACTAGTGTTAAAAAGACACTTCGATTAAAAAATGAGTGTACCCTGTTTAGGGTCTTTGTCTAGTTCTATCCTTAAGTCGCTAAGAGGTCTCTGAAGTCACTCAGAGTTAGTAGTAGATTAAGTTTGAAAAATCTATAATAAGAGATTGTTCAGTAACAATTATCGACTCTAACGCAGTAAGTATATTATATATTTATCACGGTAAACATATCAAATAGCATCATTTTGGTATTTATATTACTTTGAGGTAAATAAAAGTAGTTGCAATTTTAAATATTAAATCTTTTCGTATATGAAAATTTTATAAAGAGTTTTAAAATGACAAAGAAATTAAAACGCAGTCGCTTTGTTCATCGCATCAAATATAACGAAATGTCTGTGTATATTAAATTTTGCATAAACGTGCACAAAAACTACGCGTATATTTAAAATTTTAATCTCAAAGTTTGTTTCTATTTAAATAACAAGAATCGTGTTTCATACCTTTTTACCTTGGATTTCAACTGCAGCAAATCCTGAAAAAAATTGTTTTCTCTTTTTTTCAAAAAGAGAAAAAAGGGATAGCAGATAAAGCACATTTCTCTCGTCCGCATTTTGTCAATGGTATTATTGAAAACCGCGGGAAAATTAAATGTTTTGCATGTTGTGCAACAAGTATATAAGACGCGTCAAAATCGACCCAACCGTTTTGGAAATTATCCGGAATAAACGTGACTTGCGGACAGACATAAAAATTTAAAAAAATAGTTTTTCATTACTGGTAAAGCAAAATCACGTTTACGAACAATGATTTTTTTATAAAAAGACATGCCAATTTTATTATCTGTATAGATACGAATTATTCGCCACCTCTGCGTATAAGCAGAGTGGCGCAGTGGAAGCGTGCTGGGCCCATAACCCAGAGGTCCGTGGATCGAAACCACGCTCTGCTAAAGAATTTTTTTTTAAGTATCCCTTCGTTAAATATACTTAAACTATTTACCAATCTCAATGACGGAGTAAGAAATAGACAATCTATCTCTCAACAGTAGCTGGAGTGTTTATTTTCGATACCGCGGCAACTGAGACGTGAACCCATCGCGAGTGTTGTAATACAAGTGCTTTGATGATACTAAAGCATATTTACGTCAGACTACAAAATTAAAACGTAAAGAATTATCGTACTCTTCAAAATTCAGATTAACTGATAGCCTGTTTGAACACAGAACTAATAGGCCACTTTTCGATGTCCTTAATAAAACCTATGATATAAAATATTCAAAATGTTATAAATATTCTTATATTATTATCCTCAGTTCTCACCCTTCAGTGTATCAATCAGTCGAGTATAATAAAATAACAAGATAATTTGAGGACATGCCAATTGAAACATGTAATCACTAAGCACTAAGAATCAGCTCTCGTAGCTCTATGACGCTAAGAAGTAGTATGCATCATTAAAGATTTAAAGAAGGTTTTTATCCAGCTAAAATATTACTTTGGCTGGTGAATATAATTCAATAACAAAGACTACAATAAATAACATTTTTAAGGAAAAAAAAACAAATTAAAAAACCCCTATGCAGAAATTCCCGAGCCAAATTGACACAACAGGGTTACAGGTCAAGCGGTCCATTGATTACAGGTTGAATACGCATCTAGATAGCGTTTCAATATCAACAGAAATTACTAACTTAAAAAAACTGTTTTCTAGAATTCATAATTAAAAAGCAATATATTAGTAAATTTCATGGTAAAAAGCTAAACAGGTACTTGGGTGGCCATGATTTATTGTATTAACACAAAATCAGCATTTTTTTTAATATTCAGCACCTATCTGTACTGTACTATGATAAATATGAGCTCCAAAGTTTCATTCGAAAACTGCAAACCTGCTTCATTTTTTCCCGCCCGAATTTCAGTTTCATCCATGACGACCACTTAAAATAATGCAGGAATTAATCTGTCTTCTTGTCACATTTAATCATTTATAATTGGCCACACTATACATTTCACCTTGAAATAAAAAAAAATATTATAAAAAAACTATTTTTTTATTCCATTCACCTAATATAGCAACACTGTGTTTTCTTTCTTAATATGAAAACGCGCGAAAGTTTTTTTTTTTTAAATCGCAAAGGCGTCGCTGTAGTTCGATCGCGGCGTACACACTGGTCTATTCTCGTGATTGCCAAATGAAAAGTCTTAACACACGTGTTTTTAACTGATTGTATATTTGTTTATATTTCTACCTGTAACGCTTTTGAAGATGTAATTCAGGCGTTGGAAGATACTTAAGTTTAACATGTGGAATACAAAGAGATTATGTGCCAGTGAGAAATTATATAATGTTGAGAAATTTCATTAGTGGAGTATCGTTTGTTTAAACAGCAACTGAACTTTCTTGTGTAATTTTCCTTTGGTGTTAATCTCTAGCGAAATTCCTTGAGCAATTAATTTGTGCAAGATCGTTTTACTTATGACCATTTTACAAGCTTTTAGTTTCACCTTTCCTTAAGTTTGTAATCAAAACTTGCAAATTAATGATCCACTTCTTGTTACCGATAGATTTTCAATGTAGCATACGTGCGTAAATCACGTGACAATATATGATGACATGGTACTGATCTAATGATGGCGCTGGAAGGTGGTCATAAGAACTTCGCAATGAAATGTTTTATTTTAGCGCAATCAAATAAAATGCTAGTTTTATAAAAGGTTTCATACTTTTAACTTTATACAGCTAGCGTTACTTTGGGATTAAAAAAAATTAATCAATTTTTTTTTACTAATAGGTTTCCTTACTTTGATACTAATCGACTTTACCCCATGAAATATAAAACTACTCGAAATACCAACGAAATCTGTGATTAATGGCAATTAACGTACAAGATGTAATTGGCTGAAAAGTAGATAATTTACTGATGCTGGCATAACGCCAAAATACCAGTAAAGAGCGATTGCTTTTGACAGCAAAGTTTTATAGTCAACCGATGAAGTTCATGGCATATTAAAACAGATTTAGATGTCTTAACATTTACTTTTCAAGACCACAGAACATGAGACAAAATATTTCCATTTTATTATTTTATTAAAAATACTTTCCATATTTTAGGGCTTAAGGCGATTCAACAACAAAGCGTCTGTCATGTCTTCACCACATGCCACGTGTAAGTGACGCGACACGACATTGTTTGATATTACTAATTGCGTTTACTGTCACTAACAAATGTCGCGTTAGAATAATACCATAATTTGTGATATTTGGAACTCTACAAATATTCCTAGTTATACTAAAATATGCCACCCACTGGAATACAAAAAAATCGTGCATAAGTAAGCTACCCGAAACAGCTTCAAAGTTACGGAATATAAAAAATAAGATTCCTAACAATGCAACTGTGTACACATACATGTTTAATTTGGATGGTGTTCCATTTTTTCGTAGACAAAGGTGAGATCGGTTGAAATAGTGTGCATTCATTATGCACAGTGCTCGGTGTTTTCTTTGCTTGAATTTTGGCAGTTTTTCAGTTCTGGAAACGTTTTTTCTTTTCGTTTTTAAAACTAAACAAAGGTCTAAGGTTGATCTTGTGATCTACAAATACGAACAAATAAAACATTGTGAAAGTTTGGACTAAGTATATAATATTATGGTTAGGTTAGTGTAATTGTCATTTATTTTGGGATTTGATTTAGTGGTTGTATTGTTGAAAAACTGTCCCTAAAGGTAAAAATCGTAGGTGCAATATTTTAAGAAAGAACGATAATTTTGAAACTGGCTATCACAAAAACGGATCCACTAAAAATTCTGCTAATTCTTTCTAGATTTTCCTTAACGCAACAAAAACACTTGAAATACTCTTTTATTATAATACTATTGCAGATAAGCTGGCAATAATTTTCCAACTGACTTTTTTGCCACTGTCAACCAAAGAGTATATAAAATAACAACTTTATTAAAAGTCGCGTGACAGGTGACAGTTAATTGACAGTTTTTGTCATCAACTTCAACGTTGTTTTGAGACAATGTTTTTGTGTAGTTTTCTATGTGAAAATAACGTAGATTCCTAACAAGATTTTCTATTTAAAGTTGTTTAAAAGTGTTCTAAAAGTATAGTTCTACTTAAATTGTATATTTTAACTTGTTAAAATTATCTACTAAAATAATATAACAATGGAAGACGGGGATGAAAGTTTACATCGTTTAGCAGGCACGTCTGGTGATGCACCAGGGGGCTTAATAATTAAAAAGAAAGACAAACCGCAGGAATTTCAATTTGCCAAGCCTTCCTTGTTAGGGTTAGACAAACTTGCAGCGGCAAAAAGGAAGCAAAACAGATTAATATCGTTCCAAACAGAGGAGAACGAATCGGAAGAAAGTGAAGACTCAAGCGACTCAACAGGTGTTAAGGGACGTAAATATAGAAAGCACAATGAGGAAACCCCAACATATACAGGTGGATTATCTGAACAAGCACGAGAACGGATGCTGGAACGTTTACAAAAGTAAATATTATCATATTTCAATTTTTATTACATTTCACTAGGCATAGAGCTAGCTAAACTAGATCTCCTTCCAATTAATAAGAATAGAGCCACTATGAGAGTTCAAAATGTGATAAAGCAAAATAATATGAAATAACTCTAGTAAAACAAATTGAAGTACAAATAATTCTAAAACTGTAATATTCCTTTGCAGAAAAGAAAGAGAAACTAAAGAAAAGGGTGTCCACTATTCAACAAAAGAGGAACAGAAATTGAGATCAAGAGATGATGATGATCGCTCCTATTCGAACCGCTATGATAGAAGAGATCGTGACAGAGACAGGAGAAGAGATGAAGACTATAGGAAAGGCAAAAATAGAGATAGGGACTCTGACAGGAGAGAGAAGGATAGAGATAGAAGAGACTCAGAAAGGGGTAGTTCAAGACGAAGTTATTATGAACCAAGATTCAAAGATGAACCTAGAACTCCAAAGTAAGTTGAATTCCTGTTTACATCACAGTGCATGCTTATAGTTTATGTTTTTAAAAAACTTTGTTTTTGAGTCATTTCCATGCTTTGCTGGAAGTGATTGTGTACTAAATAAAACTTATAGCCTTTTTATTGACTTTTTTCAGTCTTAAAGTCCTCAAACCAACGGATAAAACAGCATGGGATGATGATGATGATGACCCGAAAGGTGCAGTCAGGAAATCCAGTTGGGACTTCCCTACACCGTTACCTCGAGATTCGAGTTCTGGAGATAGATCACAACATAGTGAACGGGGAAGACCGTTGAGAGATAATAAAGGAAAATTATATGAATACTCATCCAGAGCAACACCACATAAGTAAGTTAATTTCCTTTTATGACAATGACTATGTTTACTCATTAAAATAAATCAAGTAAAAGTTACTTGTCCTTATATTAAAATTCCTTTTCAATACAAATCTTATTTCAAAATATTGTGAAATTGTAATTATTTTTCTCTGTACACTTTTTAAGGTTTGTGGATATATTGTACAAAGTTTCCATTACTATATCTTTATGTTTGTGTGACCATAGACCAAGGCAAGGACAAAGTTGTAGTCATTTAAGTATTTATTTAAATATAGATAAAAACGCCATCTAGTTATAGAGCTAGTCATTAAGAGGAGACTGAGTAGACTTTTGAAAACAAAGCTTATGAGACTAAATTTTTAATAAAAACTAATATATGTATTTAAATTAAACACTCCAGATGGGCGTCATCGCGGCGTGTAGTTGACATAGACGATCCGGACTGGGAGGAGGTTGAAAAGAAACTGGACCGAGCATGGTACAACATGGGAGAAGGTAAAACATTTTTTTTATTATCTAACCTACTCTAAGTTAAGGGTGATTAGACCAGAGTCAAGTGGCCCAGTATGGGTTGCATAACTTCCATCCTTTATTTATAAGAACCGCATGGGAAAGAGTAAACAATTAAAATGAGCCCTCAGGCACCCGCACTCATCAGACTGTATGCGGAATATCTTCCACTTGAGGTGTGTCTTCTGTGTGATCATGGTATTTCACCGGTGGACCTGACCTATTAGTGAACCCCACAAATAGTGTTGTTGTGGGATCTACCACATAGAATCTTGAATCTTTCAGGAGAAACAGACGAATCAGATCCATTCGCTGGAACAAGTTCGGAATACATAGCGCGTAAAGAGGAACAGATTGAAAAGCGTCGCAACCGCAAAGTGTCAGCTGCAAGACAGCAGATTGACAGAGACAATGAGCTATGGGAACGCAACAGGATGCTGACCAGCGGTGTGGTGCATGCTGTTAATCTCAATAGTGATATGGATGAGGTGAGATACAATAATTAACATTCTTAGTATCAAGCAACTCAACTATTAAAACCATATAAGTACCAACTCAACTTATACTAAACTTAGCTGTCAAATAACTGAACTATCAACTCATTAAACTGTCTATTCTAAGCAATTTACTTATTAAGCGACTAACTTAACGGGTAAAAATTCTATTAAAAATCATTTTTTTTTACTTCTTAGGTAATTTTGAAATATTTACTCAAGGCCAGTTTTAGCATGTCCGGCGCCCAGGGAGGCATTTTTGGGCGCCCCCTTTTTAGTGTCGGTTAAAATCTGCCAAAAATAAGGTACCTTAGGAAGCACCACAGGCGCCTTATACTAGGTGCCCTGGGTGCTTACCCCCACCTCGCCCTACACCAACACTGCAACTGTATTTACTTAGCACCTTAGTAATTATAGTTTTCTATTGATAAAGTACAGGTTTTCATATAAAGAACCTTTTAGTTCACATCATCAGCTCATACATCCCCGCTGAGGGGCTCGGAGCCTACCATAAGTTACCTTTATGGTTTTTTTATAATATTGTTTACTGTGTAAAGGCTTTATTTTGAATACATATAATGTATATAATTGCAGGAAAGTGTTGACCGTGTACATCTATTGGTACATAACATAGTACCACCATTCCTTGACGGCAGGATTGTGTTCACCAAACAACCGGAGCCTGTTATACCGGTGAGTTGTACTCTGACTTTATATTCTACACATCAACGATGTAGAAACCTTTATGATATTGCGTAAGCCTTATTAGGCATCTAAGTCTTTAAATCGCTAAAGTTTTGAAAATGTATGTTGCTTTAGGGTCTTGGAATAATATTGTTTGTGGATCGTGCCATTGTTTTGGTTTTAACTGAATCCTCCCCCCTCCATACCTAAAGAATACATAATAGATATAAAAAAATACTTCGAATAATTGAATATAAATTCCCCCCCCCCCTAGGTCTAGGAGTCTAGGCTTAGTCTAGACTTATAATTAAACCTTTTATGTAACTTAAAGGTGAAAGATCCGACATCAGACATGGCGATCAATGCACGTAAAGGTTCAGCTCTGGTGAAAGCATTCAGAGAACAGAAAGAGAGGAAGAGAGCGCAGAAGAAACATTGGAAATTGGAAGGCACTAAAATTGGTAAGATTTGTTACTCAAATAATAGAAATCTATCTCATCTTGAGTATTATTTCTCTTTCGATAGACAAAAGAAATTATAAAATCGGTTCTGTATTTTTACTAGCGGTCGCCCGCGACTCCGTCTGCGCAAAATGACATAAAACATAAGGGCCCTTGTGTGTGCAAATTTCAGAATAGTCTGTTGATCCATTACGGAGATACCTTTTAATAAACATTTTTTTATATCATAAGGTGGCAAACGAACGAGCGGCCAACTGAAATCGCTGAAATAGCGAAGTGACCGTTGCCCATAGACATACGCAATCGCGTATGCGTTGCCTATCTTTAATCGACGGAGGAGAGGATGCACAGACAGAAAATATTTTCCCTTCCCATGCATCCTCTCATCCGGAAAGTCCACTTCCACCTCCCATGCTTTCCTTATAAGAACAGGTGGGAAGGGAAAGAGGACTAAATTAGGCCTCCGGACACATACATCTAAATATTGGAATTTACATTAGTAATATTAAGATTGTGTACACATTTCTTTCAATTAATAACATATGTAAATGAAATATATTTAATGTTTAAATAAACATTATGTAACAGGTAACATAATGGGCATACAGAAAGAGAAAGAAGAGATAGACGATGGTCCGACAAGACAGGCCTACAAATATGCTGAACATATGGATAAAGGTAACATATAACAGAGTATGTTTAAATTGAAAGCAAATAAACATATACATATAATATGCAATATGCAACAGAAGGACAGGAGCCGGAATCTAAGTCGGATTTCGTGAAGAAGAAGACTATAGGTGAGCAGCGCCGCTACCTGCCCGTGTTCGCGGTGCGCGAGGACCTCATGCAGGTCATCAGGGAGAATAGTGTCATCATCATTGTCGGTCAGTTACATTTTTTTTATTTCGACTAGCGATTTACATATGTACATTTCCGACGTTGTTACTGTGAAGAAAACTTCGTGATGCTGCACATATCTGAAAAGAGATGCAAAGACATAGTCAACCAACCCGCACTGGGCCAGCGTGGTTGACTATGGCCTAATCACCCGTAACTTAGGGTAGGCCCCGAGCCCCTCGGTGGTGACGTATAGTGAGCTGATGATGATAGATTACTTTTTACTTTTAAATATTTATAAATCACAAGAAGTTAAAACTAGATTTCTCGTATTGAATATTAGATGAATTCCTAGCTTACTTAAGGGGAATCTAGGTGCTAGAATGTGTGTGTGTGTGTGCGCGTGCAGGAGAGACGGGCAGCGGGAAGACGACGCAGCTGACGCAGTACCTGCACGAGGAGGGGTACAGCGCGCGCGGGACTGTGGGCTGCACGCAGCCGCGCCGCGTCGCCGCCATGTCCGTCGCTAAACGAGTCGCCGACGAGATGGGATGCAAACTGGGTATGTTTTCTTATCTCGATGACTTACACCAATATCTCGAACGATATGGACTATTTCTAAGGTTATTTTTAGAACTATATCTATGGACATCCGACTTGAAGGACCGACTTATTCATAGTAGGCCCGTGACTTTGACAGCGTTGAATTTTAAAAAAGATTATTAAGTTTGCTATCTGTCTTGTAGACAATTCTACATGTATTCTACCTTCTAATAAATATCCATCCATACATCCAAACATTTGCCTTCATAATATTAATAAGATGAACTTTAGATTTTTTACGTATTATATCTAAGATTTATAGCATTAAATCTGATAAATTCCAATTTTAAATACAGAACTAAGAATTGTACATGAAATATACTGAGCGATGTATTTCGATGTTGCGATCAGGCGAGGAGGTGGGTTACGCGATCCGTTTCGAGGACTGCACCTCACCCAAGACTGTGATCAAGTACATGACGGACGGCATCCTGCTGCGTGAGGGTCTCAGGGAGCCCGACCTGGACAACTACTGCGCCATCATCATGGACGAGGCTCACGAACGCTCCCTTTCTACTGATATGCTGTTTGGACTGCTAAGAGAGGTAAGTCATAGCTTAAACTCCCTTTTCTACCAGCAAGCGGTTTAGTGGAAAGATGACTTAACTGTATTATGATCAAAATTTAAAACTACTAAAGGGTATTTTATCATTATATTTCTGTCAGAAACGTAAATGTTACGATCTAGGTATAAAAAAATGTCGTTTATTTAAGTCTTCAATAAAATGATTCCACGAATATTTTTATCGATCAATATATTATGTTTATAAATATTACGTAATTGGCAATAACATGTCATATAGATAGTGGTCGGGAATTAACTCTATCTAGAGGACAATATATTTATGTTGTAATATTACATGCACATTGCATCTATATTATTATAAAAATATATAAATGTAGAAGATAAGATTAAGATCCCCCTCTACACACTTTCTCGTGTTTCGAACGCGAATGCGTTACTTTAACGCACGTCATTTTGACGCAGCTTGACTTAATCTTACTAAAAATATCTAATAGATCTTATATTGAATTGCCTTCCTATGTTTTTAAATTATTACTTTTTTGTAATCATCTTTTAGAACAGAATTTTGGAACCGCACTTGAATCATAGTCTTATTTTGATTTATGTTCTATGTCCGTATCCTTATAGCAGGGTAGAGGATGTCCACAGTGCGTCATTAGCTCGCTCTATTTTGGTCTCTGCGTTTAGTCTCTGCCATGTCAGCCATCATCATGCCGGCGGACACTGAGCGCCGGCAAATGTGTTTAGGATGCTGTTTGTTGTTCCTTTGGGTATTTAAATAAAATTCATTTTTTATCGATTACGTAATCAGTTTATTAATACAAAAATGCTTCCATATAAATAGAACATTGAAATCTTATACGTACAATACTCTCACAACAATCGGAAATAACTCGTTTTCAACATTTTATATAAATTAGCAATACTTAGAAATACTCGACACACGAAGACTATGAAAAACTGGATTCAAATCTTTCCAGTAGAAATTACTGGAATACGAGTGAATTCTCCATAGTCCCATCTCACTCCCGTACAAAATCAGAACAGTCTTATTAATCAGAAACAATGATAAATAGAATTTTTATTTCCATAGACTTTAACATGTTATAAACTAAGCTATAAGATATTCACAGAATCATTAGTCGCCTCGCATCATTAAAATCTCAGGAATGTATTCATAAAATTTTGGTCTAATCAAAATTAAAGCTTCTATTTGAAAATTAAGAATTAAAATACAATCCAAATTTATTTTTGATAAATTCTACGTTAAAATTTTATCTGTGATTGAGCATAGAACCTAAATGGTACACTGTATTATTAAAAACAGACACAAAATGCATTTCAAGTACAAAAATTAAATATTACGGCAGTTTAGTCATGATTTTACAGAAATCTAATGTAGCAAAAATCAGTATCAAGTACTAGAATAACGAAACGAAAGGACCAAGTTTTAATTGTATTCGAGCGATTAAAAACAATTATAAAAATCGATTTTAATCAAATTTTTTTAGAGCAACAAAAATTTCAAGTTATAGCAAAATGATTAAACATTGAATGAACATTGAGAACTGAAACAGATAAAATACGTCACTCGATATCAACTCGGTCCTATCGGTAAAAAAATCGATACCGTATAATCGATTCAATCACACCCGGTGATGGAATTTAAAAAAAAAACAATTTATACATTGTCTATGTTCCGGGGTGACCAGAAGCAGGCGTAGCACGAGCCAGCGGCGTTGCCGCTGGATGGCAACACTCAGACAGACTTTGCCTTAGCCCTGGCGTTGCTTTGACTTACGAGCATTACGCCCATGTTCATGCCAATGTTGCCCCATTTCAGCGACTCGCTTATCTGTAACAAAGAGGATTTATTGTAAAGAATATGTAAGTTATTATATATGTAAGCTAATAACAAAAAAAAATGTACTTTCTGTCAGACATTTTTACTTAATATCGCAAAAAATGTGAAGATAACTGTATTACCAACAGAATACTTTAAGGTAAAAAGAGGCTTTTTAAGCTATTATAATTAATTTTACAGCACGAATTTTACTTCTTGCATTCAAGTTACATAAAGCTTTATAAAATTAAAAAAAAAAACACGATAAAATGACTTTTGCTTTGGCCGTGATTTTTTTCTCGTTTAATAGTTTCCAAGATGGGCTATTGTATCCGGATAAAAAAACAAATCTAAATCTATAATTATATAAATTCATAATATAAATTAATTAATACGATATTACGCAGTCGACTAATTGCTATACTATAATATAAGCATATTTACTTAAAACTGTATTTAAGCTGGAAATACCCGACTTGGATATTGACAGATAAAAACATATCGGACAATTGACATAGTGGTATTTATGAATCGCTTTATCACACTTTTATTATTAATAATGAATGAGTGTTTTAACATTTTAATATGTTCCTATGCAGTCACTCCGGGTCTGGTATCAATTAACCCAATTTATCTTTGACCTTGCGCCAGGGTTCAAACTGGAGTCTGAATTATTTATAGACATACTTCTTGGAACTGATAAGATAATTATGTTTGTAATAAACATAATAGAGCGTCGGTAGCTCAGGGGTCAAGCATTTTACTTGCAATTTGCAAGTCCTGAGTTCGAATCCCGTCATATACCAAAGTGTTTTTCGATTTCCGATTCACATATGTACATTTATCAGACGTTCTTACGGTGAAGGAAAACATCGTGATTCAACCTACACGTGTCTGACAAGAAATTCAATGATATGTGTGAAGTCAACCCGCACTGTGCCAGCATAGTTGACTATGGCCTAATCACCCCTAACTTAGGGTAGGCTCAGAGACCCTCGGTGGGGACGTATAGTGAGCTGATGATGATGATGAATAAACATAATACGGTAAGTACAAAGTTCTTGATAAATTTTTGAATATCAATGTTATGCGAAGTTACGTTTCATAACATTTATAAAGTAAAAATTTATAAAATACACAAGTTTGAATAGTTGCTCAAAAATAACGCCTTATGTGTAAATTAATCAGTTAAAGATATTAATTTAATTAACTTGCAACAGCTTTATAAAAATACTCCGTTTTTGTATAATAAGGTTAACAATATCGAATTAATGACATTTGTCGAATTTTTCTCACGATATTTGTGCAAGTTTTTTACCAAATGTTTTTTTTTATTTAACGACATTTTAAACTCCAAACTGTACGTAATATCAAGGCAATGAACTAATTTTGATAAAAAGTACTGGCTGTCTACAATTTATTGTTATAAAAAAAATATTTTTTATTTTTTTAAAAGCCGTTTATATTAGTTGGCAGTTCGTATAATTCAGTGCAGAGGATAAATAGTAATACAGACTCTTAATGCATTAGTACGCAAGGTTATATAAATATAATGTTATTTACATAATCTTTACGTCAAATGTTTGTCGTCACACATTTCTATTATATTACAAATAAATGTAACCGAACAAGTTTTAAAATAAATTAATTTTATATCAGTTAAGAATAAAATTCCGATGTGTAATAAGCCTTAGTCACGTTTTGTAGGTGCCGACTCAACACGTGAGTATAGACTTACGAGTTAGCAATAGACACACAAAAGATAACACAATAGGACAACATTAAACCTCTGAACTTGGGGTACACGTTTTAAAAGAAAAACCTCACCGGTATTGTAAAGGTAGCCGGCAGATTGGGTCCATAGCGCCGCTACGACCATCAAAAGATGATGATCATAGGTGTTTTCGACGTCGTTAAGCTGATCTGTAACAAAATTTCTACGTTGTGCGATCTCTGTTTTTTTTTTCTAGTCTTGAGTCCAACCGTCGGCCCATGCAATATGGTACATGACTCCCACGATGACAGTAAATCGACGTCCCCCAAAGTTCTCAGTTTATGAACAAGCCCAACTTTCATACATTTAACTTCATACAATAGCGGAAACGATAACAAAAAGCTTGAAAAATAAGCAACTGTCGAAAATTATGAATTTAAAAATCGAATGTTTACGTAACACTGTCAGTACAAATTCATTCCTTTTTAAATTGTAGTTTCTACACGGCCAGAAATCATATTTATTTTTTATTAAATTTAAAAAAATATAAAGATATCAATATATAGAAATAAATTGAGCAATGCTCTTGTAAAGACAGCTTAAGTAATGATCAGAAAGACATGCAATAGTTTAAACAATGCAAACGTAAATTCTAGAACAGAAAACATGATAATAATCGTGCATAATTTTAACAATTGAACGTTCTAGAAATTAAGTCATATATTTACCTGTCTCATGCGAGCCTCTTGAGGCGTCTCCCCATAGCGGCACCAATGGACAAAATGTAGAGTGTTGTGCCAGTTCCTCTCGAATCTGGATTTAGTGGCCATGTCAAGCTGCAATCAGGAGAAGCTCCTTAGTAGCCGTTCCACTGTCACTTTCCAAAAAACGAAAGCCCCATGAGGCTATCTGAAATGAGAGGTTTCCAATTCGATCGTTGACCTACAGAGGGAAGGCTAACAGTTTCAAAAGACTAAAGACCTATTGGACGCGGTTACGAAAGGCAACACGATAAGAATGTCTATTCGAGGATTTGCAAGTATTTATGTTAATATACGCTTAAGATATTAGAATATTGGAATTGCAAAAATTCAAAGGTAGTATCTAATAAATAAATCAGACAAACTTCCAGACAATGACTATGTGAAGCAATATGCATTTGCATAATAACCGAGGTCGTCCGCTAAACCAATCGCTTACACTAAACAATTCAAAGGATTAGAATGTGCGCGGAACAAGAAAGAAATGTTTATTAAACAATGTAGTTTGCACTATTGGGGTATTTGCAATCTTAAATCCGTTACGTTAACTAAGTATTGACATGTCTCGCTTTGTACGAAATTAAACAATTATTTGTTCTGGCAATTTCGAAAGAATTCCACTACGTAATGTATTTTATTTTATTGTACCCGCAATTACGTCGATTGAGAAAATTGGGAATAAATCGATGAGAATTGGAAACTTTTCGGTGGTTTTCTATAAAAATTACCTTTGCCCTTATGTCTTTTTCGCTGTTTGGGGTCTCCTGTTTATCGTCCACGTTGTTGATTCGTATGACGGAGTCTTTCTTCCAGAAGGCACTCAGAGTGGTCTTGATAACACGTTTGCGCACACCTTTCTGTTGCACAGTGTACACCTCTATCTGTTCCGGGTTCTTTGTTTTTTCTGTTAAATAAAAGAAAAATATGTTTTTATTCCAGGTTATAGCTTTTCATAAAAAAATATTTGCGTAGCCTCGTGTTTAAAACCTTAGTATAAATTCACTAAATAGGTTGCGATATGTTTATAGAAATTTCCCTAGGCCGGGTCACGGCTGTTAGTAATCGGTTAGCTATTTATTGCTCTTAACTCATTAAAAGGCGCGAACGAGCACGCCGTCGCGTACGCCTCATGAATAACATAATGTTATTCACATCGCAAATGACCGCAACAGCGTGCGACTCGAAGCGAAGTTATTTAGTGGTTCAGTGTTGCAGTACGCCCCCGCGTCGACGTACCTTATCGCACATAAGCGATAAATTACGATGACTCAAGGCTACCTGCCTAGGAATATAGTTTTACAGCCACCGTCACTTACCTTTACCCTTCTTCCACATTGCGATGGCATACATGTGATAGTCTGGAGAGAGCGCAGAGTCCGGCGGCAATGGGTCTTCCGCTCGCACCTCCAGCACGAAGCCAGTCTCGAGCACAGCACACAGGATATTCTGTTCATCGTGCTTAAACCACTTGGTCTCCCGAAGCTTGTGTATGGCCACCGACGAGCCGAAGCGCGGCTTCTTCGGCGCGAACAGTGCCTGGGCCTGGCTGCCGAAGCGAGACAAGAGCCCCTTCACGGTCGGCTGTGACGCGAGGCTCTTCTCTGGCGGCTTTATCTGCTGGAAGCTCCGGCAAGTCACGAACCTCGCTTCCATTGAACCCTGCTCTCTTTAATTCTCAAATCGATCCCACCGCGTGCACTAACTTAAGGTTTTTAAGGGTGATAGTAATTCGTTGGTAGACTCTCACTATGTAGAAATCGCGTTAGAACACTTTCACAATTGATTACGCGTGGCTTCTGAGTTGCGGGTACGTCCAACTATACTGCGACACCGGTACATTAAACGCCGCGCGCGTGGCGCTCGGCGGTTTTATACGAGCAAGGGGGGAAAAGGGCGGGCGGGACGCACTGCCGCTCACGTCGCACCCTACTAGTGGCGAGCAGTATTGTGTCGATATTTCCAATTTAAGAAAAAACTACTAAATAATTGGCAATTGTTGACGATGTTTTAAATAACTAATCGACCTTTTTAATCTTTCAAAACAACCGTTGTTGAATAAGCGGAGAAAGTGTTATTTCTCGGTAAAAGTTATATAAGTGATAATATGTACGATCTTTGTAAAACAGGACCATAACTAATGAAACAGAAACCTGAAAATGAAATATTGCAGATAA